AGTAGGGTGGTCCATTTTGGAAAAGTTTGTCGGATTCGTCGGGCCGGGTCGGAAATCTTGTCGATACTATGACACAAGGATGTGTGCAAAATTTTATTCCGATCGGATAATTTTATCCCGTCCCGCAGAGCGACCAAAGTTTCCCCTATGGAAAGAATGTTACGGGGCTGAATGGTATTACGGTTTCTCCCGTACAGTAAGGATTTTGTTTTGCTCAGTTCGCACTTGCAATAATTCAAAGACGGAAGACAGGAACGCATGTATTGCAAAAAAGGCAACCGTGGTTATCCTTCAACACTGGTGAGATTGTTGGTCCATGTTAACTGGTCCATCTGTCTATCTGTCCATCTGTCTATAATGTCCATCAACACTAGTGACACTGTTAGACCGCAAAAAAAACGATATCCGCCGTGCGTGCCATCCCATGCCTACTTCGCGCACGGGTGCAATGCCCGGTGTCGCTCCACGACCTGCAGAAGGTGCTGTCGCTGTTCCTCGTCGCGCGTAATGGCGCCGCAGAACGCGCTGATGAGGGCGACGCCCCTCTCCGCAAAGTCGTTCACCACCCGTAGGTGACGAGCGCGCCGACGAGCCGTGGTGAGCTTCGGGCTGCCCAACAAGCCACACTTCGGTGGCTGAGCGTGAGCGTCTTGCAGTTGCAGCGGCCATGCTGAACGCAGGCACAGCCACGACTAACGCAATACGCAACGCTTCTCCTGGCCCAGCAGGAACTGCCGATCCTCGTGCTGTTTTTTTTTTTTTTTTGGATGCCGAAAAGCGTCCTCCGCTCAGCGTCCAGTAAGAATTCCGGCGATTCTCGACTTCAATTGAAAGATATTAGCTCGCCAGTAGGTGACCGTTGTGTGTTAGGCGTGCGTTTGAGTTTGTCTCCGGCTGCTGAGAGCAGCGATGGAATGGTTAGTTAGTCAGGAGGTGATCGTTCGGGCAACATTCAGCCCAGCCAGTGTCACGCATGGCAAAATACACGGTTAAAATGCACATGTTCATCCTATTGAGACCAGTTGTTATGGTGGAAACTTTGGCCGCTTTGCGGGACGGGAAAATATCATCAGATCGGAATGAAATTTTGCACAGAACCTTGTACCATAGTATCGACAAGAATTCCGACCCGGCCCGACGAATCCGACAAACTTTTTTTTTGCCATGAAAATGTGGACCACCCTACTGTGTAGTATTGGCATGAACAGCAAAATGTCAATCAACACCCAGTGGTGTCATTATTACTGTTTTGAACATTTAACATTTTAGTCAATGTTACTTTAACACTGGATAGTGTGTATGCAACCAGACACTTTGCCTGTGTTAAACATGGTGTCCAATTAAAACCAGTAGATTTGCAGTGCAATTGATCAAATTTACAACAAATCCAGGCAAAAAGCAGGACAGATGAAGTTCTGTGAAACTCGGAGAATGCCAAATATTGTGTTATAGTATGGCTGCCGCTGCTCAACCCGCATTGTGTTTTATGGTTCTTGTTCCTGATTGTAAAGTGTCCTTGGGTGTTTTGAAAGGCGCTTATAAATAAAATGTATTATTATTATTATTATTCATTTATCCACATTCAAGCACGTTGGGAGGAGGAATTGTGAAAAGGCACAGCATCAATGTGCAACTTGTAGGGAATGCACACATCACAAAAACCACCTGTTTTAATGAAATGGCCAGAGTTGATGCATAAATCCCAAGAGGGAGTCAGATCTACAGAACTATGCATCAAGATCGACCTACCAGCATCATATCAGGTGACAGCGCATGTCCACCCATATTGTGGCCATGCAATGACACCTTTCGCCATGACAATGCAGCTGAGAAGAAATGCTGTACCCGGGGAACAACTCAGGGCACAATTGAAGGAATTGTGTGAATTGAATCAAAAAATAAATACTAAAGCACACGCACACACTAAGCAGGCAAATGGGCTTTTTTTTTCTACAAACCTGATGGTCTAGTGCTTATGGATTCCCATGCAGCCCCTGTGTATTCTCTCACTCCGCTTGTATTGCAGCCTCCTCACTCTCAGGATCTTCATCCTGTCTCTCTTTTATGTGCTCTATCTTCTATCTGAAAGTGTCTCCCGGGTCCTCTGGCTTTCCCTCTGTGACAACCTCAAGTTGCTTCTCTTCATCTCTCTCAACATCATCATCTGGCTCTATAAAATTGTTCTCATTGTTATTTGTCTATATGGTGCAGAAATGGAACATAATGTCCTTTTTGTCTACGTTTTCAACCATGGAGGGGAATATGCAATGTTTCAGCAACCCAGTTTCTGAATAACATGTTAAAAGAGGCTCCTGTTGCAGGATTGCTTGGTTTTCTGTTGTGGTGCCATGAAGTAATGTTAGTTGGTTGAATGAGTGCCTCTGACCTGACAAAACCCCTGGCCCCAGCCAGGCCTCCTGAGTAAAATTGGTCCAGAAGACCCACTTCTCTGGAGGTGTCTTCCTGCAGTGCTTTATTTTATGAAATGGACAGTCATATTTTTCAACCGAACATTGTTTAGCACCACATTATGTGCACAGTACAATGTTGCCCATTCTGCATCCAATGCACCCCAGTCATCCACACATATGTGGTCTCTTCTCAAGGTTTCTTATTTTTTTCTCTCATGTGGGTTTTTGAGTTTTTCCTTGCGCGGAGTTGGGGTGGGGGGTTGCATTAGGGGATGTTTTGAACATTTGTCAACTGTGGGCCTTTTAAGCTGTTGTGATTAAGAGCTGTATAATTAAATTTGATGGATGTTGACTCTCGAACCACCACTGCATTGAGGGCGATGAAAGACAAGAGATGCTGTCATGTTAATAAGGTACTGCAGGTCCGCAATGAGTTTGTTGCCTTAACCTAAATGGTAGTGACTGCCAACCTATGAAAGGAAGCATGGCAGGACTGTGACCGCAAACGAAACAGAATCACAGAACACATAATTTCACAGTAGACCACTAAGAAACAGACACAGGCTATGTCAAATTGCCTCCATCTCATGCGGCCTGTTTTACACCATATTGCACCACATGCATTTTGCTTAATGAGCAGTCCCAAAAAGGCTCAGCAGTAAGCCTGTAAAGTAAAAGCTGTTCTGCTCTTGAGAAATCTTTCTATGTCAGTGCAATAAATTGTCTGTATAATGGTGTTGTAGCACTGCATTATCACAGCCATCCAGAAGCAGGAGCGTGGTGTTGCAATACAATCAAATATAGTGCATGCTACCTTATAATCTCATCATCCTGTGTATAAACTCACTAGAGGAAAAGCACAAGAAGTACAAAACAGTACATACCATTAGGTACACCTGCACAATCTGGGTAAACCAAACGTTTTCTTTCAAAGTCATTTGTAATGGTTACATAAAAAGTGGCAGGGAGGCTTTCAAAAGTACAACCTATGGATTTATATTTAGATTTTTTAAATAATTACAAATTCATCACAACATAATATAGCGTCTGTTAGTTGACAATAGTGTGCAAGTTGTTAGAATAACATATTCTCCAATTCTCTTCTAAATGTATAACCTTTTTGCACCACACCTAATGTGGCCACTATTTGGAAGCCCCAAGTGCCGAAGAGGGGACAAAATGAAGCTGCTAGCTGGAATGAAAAAATACTTCATTCAAGCTCAGACATCTTCCAACATGTCACAAACAGAAGACGAGAAACAATCGATAAAGCCTCATATTTCAAATCATTGTTCAGTGTCTGTGTGTCTATGTATGTGTGTGAGTCAGCCCGCTCTCTCTATAGCTATGACTACCGTGGTTGTATTACATCTTGATCTGCTGTAATTCCATCTGCTGTGACAAATTGTCATACTGCCACAGGAAACCTCTCTACACGTATACGTGCATGCACGGACAGACAGACAGACAGACACACACACACACACACACACACACACACACACACACACACACACACACCACACACACACACACACACACACACACAGAACTCAATGCATTGAACCAGTTTAAGGTCAACGCCAGTAGTGCTCAGGTGCCAACTTAAATTACACTGACCACAACCATCTCACATTTCAATCTGATGTGCAACACGAATCAGTGATTGATGCGTTGGGCCTTATTTTGAGGTCAGGCATATCAGAGGGTGCAATCATGTAGCACTGCTAATGGATGTGAATTGTAGAGTGCAATTCTGGGACCAACTAAGATCCTGCGCAGGAACCATCAAGTTGCCAAGCTTCTGGTGATGGATGGGGCTATAGAATTTATTTTGTGATTTTCTGTTTTCATGCATTACTGTATTTTCAATTTTCGTAGTTACATTGAAGTAATCATTAATTTACGTTTTTTGGAGGCCGTCATGAACGCCTCTCGAGTCTAACGGAAGAAGAGAAGGCACGGAGACTGACAAAGACGTACCTGTAACTCCATCTAGTGGATGCATTGTAGATTGCGCCTTATAGTCCAGTGCGTGCAATATATGAAAATTACAAAATAGGCCATTCATTGAAGGTGCACCTCATAATCCAGTGCGCCTTTTAGTGTGGAAAATACGGTACGTTATCTTTGAGAGGGGCGGGTTCAGGATTTTTTTCTGGGGTTGCCAGATAACATCACAGACCGCAGAAGGATGGAACAAATGTCATGTTATATATGTTTATAAAATAGTTACTAGCTAATAGTTAATCATGAAAATAGTTCAGAACTAAGGAATATTTTATTGCAAAAGCCCAACTTTATCATCAAATACAAATACACAATCAAAATACTCTCTGGTAATATTCAGGGGGGCCGGACCAAATTTGGAGACGGGCCAGATCCGGCCCACTGGCCATAGTTTGGGGACCACTGAATTAGAGCCTCTCTCTTCTGTTCTGTCCACACTGAATATTTAATGAAACTACACAAATACCCGCAGTTTGTAATTAATGTGATTCCCTGCAGACCTTGGTTTACCTCCAATAGCCTGTCCATGCCTCACCTACCTGCTATTCAACCTTTTGCCTTCATGTCTTGTCTCACTAGGGCTGTAGCTTCTGCTAAATGGTCCACCGGAAAGCAACAACGTATCTCCAACACACAACGCTGGCTTCGCAGAGAGGACGAAAGCGAAGGAGAAGGAGTCTTCACACCATGAAAAATGATACATAACAATAGACACAATTCCCACAAGCTCAACTGTTGTGTAAAAATCACCATCTTCTCGCGACACTTGTCTGTTTTCTTCATCGCTATTTTCCTTGGCGTACTGCTTCTTCCCACATAATATCGCATCATCTTAAATTTGTCTGACTGCCTTTAACATTCTGTGATCGGTCCACACTAACCCTGTACACCATTGAGTATGTAATCCTTATTTTTTTCCCCATCTTACTTTTTGCAGCGTCAAAAACAACGGGTGTCCATCGGTCTGTGAAATCTATCGAGTAGAAGGTGTCATGATTTCTTTTTGAGCCTGGATCCGACGTATTCTGTCAAAGCACGTTCCAGCATTATAGAAGCCCATCAAATAATCAATATTCTACCGAACAGATGTTCCACTACTGCTGATAAAGTGCTTTAACTTGATTCATTATCATTGTTTTAATGAGCATGACTGGTTTTCATTCCCGTGGCAAAAATCTGTCAGACATACTTGAGTTGATACCCTCCATCATTTTACATACCCTTGAACCATCTACAGTGATGACTACCATAAAAAAATAGTATTACGAACGCCATCATGACAAAAATAACAATATTCCAAAATTTTCTGTTTAATTGTGTAGAACTGCACTGCTGAGAAGTATTACCATCATTTTAGCTTGAGGTGAAGGGAAATGTACAAAAAAAAAAAAAAAAAAAAAGCTGACAGTTCTACCACAATAATAAACTTGATTCATGAATGTCTCAATGGCAGGCTTAATCAAAACTGCTGGAGGACAGCACAATTGGTAAGCCTTTGTGTGTGCAGTTTGCATGTTTTTGCTCTGCTTGTGTGGGTCCTCTCTGCATATTCCAGCGTCCTCCCACAGTCCAAAAACATTCGGTTCAAAGAAGCCTCAACTGTCTATAGGTGTGAATGCGATTATAAATGGTAGTCTGTCCCGAGATGTCAGATCCGTGATTGACAGGCGACTAGTCCAGGATGCACACCACCTCTCATCCTACCATCGACTTTGGGATGAGTGTGATCGTAAATGTATTTGTGGTTGGACAAACACTCCAGTATAAATTTCCAGAGTTGGTCTGCCATCCTGAATGTTTTTCCTCCATGTTTCCCCCATCCTTCTATCCCAGAACACTCGCTCCCCTACAGAAGCCCCCCATGCCAATAAACACGGCAAAGGCTGAGACACCGTCGTGGTGGGTGTAGAGTGTTGGCTCTTTGATGTGTTCTTTTCTATTCTCAACAGACTGTGTTTGATCTAGTTTCTCTGTTTCAGAGGAGAGATGCTGCCTGTTTCTTTGTCTGCAAGTGGTTGTGGTCTCTTAGGACAAGGTTGTAGCCAATAAGCCTTTAAAGTCGGAAAAGCTCTGGAGTCGTTTCTCCGATTTATCTGTTTTTATTGCATTCGTTGTCATGGAGTGGAATCAGTATATAATGGTGTGAACCATATAAAAAGTACTATGATATAAATATTTTATTTTTTACCACGTTACAGTACTGATTAACTTAAGTAGTTTAATTGGTTCCCCACAGAGACTGTGACGAAAGAAGAAATGTTTCCCCAGTGAATTTGAGAACTAGTTTTAATGCCGGTGGTGTTGACTTTTTTCATTGTAACATTTTTGCTGGTATTTTTTTTTAATTGTGTTTAATTGCAAAGTGAAAGGTCTTTGAGTTTTCGATGCTCATGTGCTTTGGTTCAAATGTTGCTCCCCTGTTCGCTCTTCATGTTTTTCAAGTCCTAAGAAAGATGTAAAAGAAGAAAACAAAGAATGTGTTTGTGGTGCGTACATTAGTACTTTTCTCTCCTGCCTGCACTCATCAAACGACGGGAAGGAGTATGGGCTCGACTGGAAAGCAACCTCAAAGAAAAAGAAGACATTTTGAATGAGTAATGTCTGTCTTTTGCACTAATTTAATAAACCCGTGACTGAAAATTGCCACATGCTGCTCCTGGGCAATTTATTTATCGGAATAACAAGCATACACTAACAAAGATACTCAACATGCTCACTAAACTTAACTCACAATTACATGGCAAGATTTCAAAGTAAATATGTTCATGTTCCCAGCAAGAAGGATACGGTTATGATGTAGAATATAAAAGTAAATGACATGAAAGCAAGTTGACATTTCATCTGACTCACTGTACCTTCAAAACAAGACCATGCATTTATAATTTTGATTTCACATCCTAATTATAACCGGCTGATCTGCTTTGCACATCTTTGCCAGCAATGAGGATTTTCTCCTTACAGCACCCCCGTCAGTTATTCCTGGAAATGTCAATAGCAACCATAATAGCCAATAATAATGAAACTAATATCCTCCATCCTCCATTTTCCACAGAGCCATTCAAATTCATTAATTCCCTCCTAGATGATCATTTAGCAACTATTAACAGAGGATCCTCATCTGTAATGACCACTCAATTTTCATGTTCACTCCCATTCAGCTCTGTCAGGTTTCCGGAAAGCTCCGGACAGAAACGGACTCCAGAAACGCTGGTATGGAAAGAATTGACCAAAAAAAAAAAAAAAAAAAATGGTTTCGTCACAAAGATCAGTCGCAAGACCGACAAAGTTCAACAAAGAATGCTGGTTCAACACCTGGAAAACGAGACAACCAAAAACACTTGCAAAAAAAAAAAAAAAAAGGCAAGGATAAAAACATAAAAGGAAATTGCTTGTCAATAAATAGACAAGAAGAACCCCAAACGCGTATAATACAAAAACCGCGACTATAACTATAATGAAAAACTACTCATAAAGGTAACTCAACTCAACTCAACTGTATTTATAGAGCACTTTCAAACAGCCATCGCTGCATACATGGAGCAAATTAACATATACAACAAACAGTAAAGCAAATCGGAAATAAAAACAGTAGAAAGCACCGAACAGCAAAACCAAGAACAATCTAAGTCATGCTGAGTCAAATGCCAAAGAATACAAGTGAGTTTTGAGGCGGGTTTTGAAGATGGGCAGCGAGGAGGCTTGCCGAATGTTCAGTGGGAGGTCATTCCAGAGAGAGGGACCAGCAACAGAAAAGGCTCGATCCCCTCTGAGCCTCAGTTTAGTTCTTGGTACTTCTAATAATGTCTGGTCCGCAGACCTGAGGCGCCGGGCAGGTAAGTGCAGAAAACCTGGCGGGAACAAAAAGGAAGCGCAAGAACCTGGACTGTCTGGACAAATTCAACGCTTGGGGACGGTCGTGAGCAAGGCGAATTCCCCGACAGAGACATGACAACATGGGAATCCTGAAATAGTCAGTTGATTAGGTGTGCAAGTTGAAGGGATGGCCCTCCTCTGCCAACTGCTGGAGAAACAAGAACAGGATCATGACGGGCTCAACCTTAGCGAGATTAAGTGACACTCTCAAACTGTGTCAAATGATGACATTGGCAGATATTGGTAGCAGTTACTCCCAACAGAATATTCAACCATAGGCTGAAAGGCTCATGAGATGCATTTTTTTTTTCTTGGCCACCTAAATCTTAGATTGTGAAATCTATATGCCTTCCTCAGTGGCACACAAGTGAAGCACACAAGAAACCCGGGGCGAATAGCCAGTTGTGGTAGCCCCGAAACATTTTTGGTCAACAAAGGTGGGACAAACCTTTCTCAGAGTTTATGACCCCTGGATTACCCTTTTACATGCGCATTCATCTATGATCATTCACTGCCACTTTTTTGACGACAGAGGGCGGGGGGATGTGGATGCCACCTGGAGATGGATGCATGGGATCGCCACCTTGTTGGCCCAGCCCTCTGCATGCCTCTCACTTCCCTGAGCAACCTTGGGCAATCATTTGCAAGGTGTAAACACCTCAACATCGGCCATGTTTTATTCATTTAGAATAGACCAAAGTTTTTATTTTCAAAAATTGGTAAATTTAGGGTCTAGAGTGGCAAAGTGGACAGTAGAATCCCGCCACGGTAATAACAAAGAGTCAAAAAAATCCCCCAAAATCGCTGCGTAGTTGCATCATCAGATGATGAGACTGAGCAGCATCAACTGTGACAATAATCTGTACTGTTGTGTATTTGTACAAGAGATAAATATGCGCTGAGTTACCTAGATGGGTTGTTTGGTGTTAAGTGAGGGCCTATGTCTGAAGTGCACCGCTCGGCACTGGTATACAACATCGAATCAATTGCTCACTATAGTTAGCTGAGTTTCTGAAATTCCTAAAAGTAGCTGCCGTCAAGCCACTTCGTTCGCCGATTGTGAAGAGAGTGTTATTAATCGACCCAGCAAAAGACTCAAATGAACTTTTTGATCAATTTCAATCAAGTTTCCAGCCTCATCACGGTATAGGATTGGCTCTTATTAAAGTACTCAATGATACAACATTCAACGCTGACCCAGGATAGATACAACGTCTAGCGTTAGGTGATCTCAGAGCAGCATTTGAGACAGTTGAACAGAGTGAAAACTTCGGGCCCAAAGACAACTGGGAAAGGCTCCAGCACACCGGTGACCCTCGTGAGGATAAGCGGTTTCGAAAATGGAGAGATGGTGTCAAACAGAAGGTAGTGTTGGTTAAATGAGGAAATAAAAGATTGGGGATTTCAATGTTTTATGGCAATAGTCGACCATCTGTCTGCATGTGATGCGCGCATCATATGATTCTGGGATAATGGCAAAACTGATGCCTGAATGATAAAACTTTCACTCATAAGTATGGCTTTAAAAGAATGTGTCGCATAGTGTCATGTGTGTTAATTGGTGGTACAATAAGTGCACAGGTGAGAAGAAGCCCTCAGCTGCATATGTGAAATTTAGCCTTGTTTCATGATTCTTTGGAAAGAGATCACTCGCCTGTAGTGTCAAAAATAATTTAGCGCCTCTGAAGATTTAACATCAATTCAGCAGCTGCCAACATAACATTTTGACGCCGCTGCCCTACAGAATCACATGTTAATAAATGTTTATTAAGCTACCGGTACTTCTGTGTGGGACTAAAGCCTCTCATGTTCAAGTCATTACTGGAGCTTGGTCAACTTGACAAGAAGTCAGCCGAGGGCTTTGCTGCACAAAGCAAAGAATATCAAATAGGTGGTTGCAGGGCTCCTATCATGCAACATCACACTGTTTGAATTCTAAGGAACCACAAAGCTTAAGCGTGTGACGCAATTTAATGTCCCCAGGCCATTTTTATGGTTACAAATAGAAGCCAGTGTATGAAGTCAACCTCAATGCTTTGGTTATCTTGTAAGACATGAAGGTTTTTTATTAGCATAGCCTGACCTTTTCATGTTCCTGTAAATACACGAGTCATTTTCTTATTTAAAATCCCTGCGCAGCCACATACTCCCTGGTTGCAGCAGCCCGGCCGTCTAAATTGAGGCATCAGAACGACAAACAGCACCGAGATGATTTAAAGAAAGTCTCATTCAGTATTCATGTGGTCAGATTCTTGTTTTGTTTCTCTCCCGAGCCAAATCAGTCTTGGTTGCCATGGAGGCATGTTAGGAGAAATTGTTAATACGCTTGACTTTAATATGATTTAATCAGAGAAAAACAAGTCATGCTTTAATGTTTTGTTCTGCATCAAGCAACTTGTTTTTCTCCTTCACCGTCCTTTAACTCTCGTGAAGCCTGCCGCGCACAATCCCATGTCATTATCTTCAATGATCTCTGCAGGCTCACTTAAATATTCATCGGGAAAAAAAAACAAGCAAAGTCAAATCCCAAACTGCCATGAGCTTGGTTTTAGAATTTTTTTTTTTAAATTCAACCCACCCTTGGTTGGGGTTAAATATGAGTAAAAGAGCTATTAGCAGATGATCATGTTTTATGATTATGGGATTGTTGTTGTTGTTGATGTTGTTGTTGGATAATACAGGTACCACTTCACAGCAGCGCTTACGACATTTAATTATGTAGCTCGTAGACCAGACTCTATTCCCTTTACGGGGGATTTACAGTAGCTTTGTACAAATAATGACAGGTTGCATTACATTTAGAGGAATTAACTCAGATTAGAAACATCCTGGGATGTGTCTCCGCTTGGTGGGCTCTCAATCTCCACAGCATATAAATTACAAAACAAAGGCTCTGTAACACATTTCTAGAATATTACCGGTATATGACAGCTAAATCAGTTCACCCACATATTGTGTAGTTATGCACCATGGAAAAATAGATTTCTAAGTGGAGAACTACTGCGAAATGAATCCATCTCATGCAGAGTATGAGTATTTCTTGGGAATTGCTTGAAAGGAAGCGAGTTTGACTCTTGGGAGTAAAATGGTATTAAGACTGCGATTGGCTGGCAACCGATTCAGGGTGTCCCCCGCCTACTGCCCGAAGACAGCTGGGATAGACTCCAGCACCCCCCGCGACCCTAGTGAGGATCAAGCGGTTCGGAAATTGAATGAATGAATGATATTAAGAAAGCAGTGCTATTGTCTCGTTTTTTTTTTTCTTTTTTTTTCATCAAAAGTTACTCTTTTTTTAATTGTATATGTTCAATGTGCCTGGTATGTGTAATGCTCTGCAAAAATGACCAAAAAACAAGATTGACACAACTTGTCACTGCAGTTTTACTGCGTATGTAAAGATGCGAGAATAGTTAAAAATAGTACAATTTTAAAATATTTGAATAAAGAATAAGAATAATATAAAATAAAAGTAAAATAAAATGTGGGCAATTGGATACTGTTTCCACCGTTTTAGAGTTTTTCCATTTACAGTGGAGCTTGCTGATCAGTCTTTTTTTTTTTTTTTTTGTGCGCAGTGGGCTGATTGATTAAATGAAACGTGATGGAACTGCCAGACCAACCACAAAATGAAGCAAAATGAATTAAACCAACTGGAAATGGTTTCAATTTCATTACGACTGTCAGGCTTTGCCATGATTAGCGTTAAGTAGTTAGCGACATTATTAATGTCCAGCAAATGATGGGCAGCTGTTTTAGCCTGCCATTTAAAGG